AGTGTATCGGTCCGGACTCTTTCTCGACTTGTTCCTCAGGTTTTGGCCATGTCTGCTGGAGGCCAGGGCACAGCGGCACGTCTCCTGCGACGAAAACAGGTTGAACCAGTGAAATCTGACTGAAACCAAGACGGTCGCAGGGGTGAACACGCTTGACTCCTGACCACTGTGTTTACTGCCAAAGGTCAAGGTTAATCCTAGTCCTCCTTACTTACGTTACTTACCTGGATTTGGATCTTTTATGTGGTCTGCTTTATGGTAGCTCAGAAACCACCAATTGAGCACTGCCGTCTGGGTGGACTTGCCTTCGACCCCGAGCCGTTGACGGGCATTTTCCTCGAGTTTGCATCACATGTGTCTCTCAGTGCAAAGCTCATGAGCACACAGCGTTACACTCGTGCACACCTACACTCGCGTCATCAGGCATTGGAATTGTCCAAACAGCACTTGCCAACCTCTGGGAGAAGAAGAGGTTGCATATGAGGTTATCTTTCTGAAACAAACGCAAGCTCACCTGCATCTTGCAAGCTTGTCTTCTAAAGTTGGAAGCAAACTAGAAGCAAACATGCTCTTTTTCAGCTTGCAAATGACACTAGGAGCAAGGACGCTACTAGTAGCTCCTGGCCTTACCACTAGGAACAAGGACGCTACTGGGAGCTCCTGGCATCGCTACGAACGGAGCAAGAGGACGCTATTAGGTTGGAAATGACACTGTCGCCAAGTCTCTGAGAGTGTGGGATGTGCCCCACAACTGGCTTCACCGATGTACCTGGTTACAAACGACGCCAAATTCACTTCATCTGAAAGTGACTAGTCTGTGAATCGTTGGAGTTGATCAACTTTGGACCCACCAGGTTTCATGACGCTGAACAAACCGATGGACTTCACTCCTCCTTGCTAGTACAAACAAGACTCATTTGCTTTCTCCACTTTGCAAGCTGAAAAAGAGCATTCAGCTCCATTCTAGGGCCGCAAGATGCTCTATGTAGTAACAAGAAGCTACTAGGAACAAGTGCATCGCTACTAGTAACAAGTGCCTTACTAGTAGTAACAAGAAGCTACTAGGAACAAGATGCTCTATGTTGAGCAGCTTTCCGCTTTTTCTGTTTGCTTTTTGTCTCGTTCGCCGGAGGGACGGAGACCAAGGCTCGAAAAGGATGCGAGTGTTCACGTAAGAGGGGTCATCCCTGAAACGAGACGCGGAGTCCGAAGCCGGATTGAGCAGTGGATCTTTTTTGATAGTAGTAACAAGTGCCACGCTAGTAGTAACAAGTGCCTTACTAGTAGTAACAAGAAGCTAGTAGAAACATCTTTTTTGATATATATATAGTTTTATTAGGTAGGCCACTAGCTAGTAGCTAGGTAGCTAGGTAGCTAGTAGTTGGAAGGTAGCTATTAACTACTGGACGCAGGAGAGCTCGAGCTTCTTCAAGGAAACTTTCCCAGGGCGGCGGGGGAAGCAGCGCTTGCACTAAAATGATTTGGTTCCTAGATTTTTGGGGAAACTTAACTAGTAACAAGAAGCTACTAGGGGCTCCTGGCCTTACTACTAGGAGCAAGGACGCTACTAGGGGCTCCTGGCATCGCTAGTAGGAACAAGAAGCTACTAGTATCTGTTTGGTTGGCGGCCATCGCAGCGGAATCCTGCAGTGTTTCGCCATCTGTGAAATAGAGATTTTAAAACCAAAGCGGTGCATGCAACCATTCACTTGTGGACTTCATGTCAAATTTCTAACATACCTCTTGTTCAGCAGGGCTAGTTGGTTGGAGGCCATCGCTTTTTAGGTAGGAGGCCCTTCCTATTAGGTGGGAGGCCGAGGGTCCACATGAACGTCTGTGACCGGTGTCTGTGTCACCGATCAGCTGGTTCCCTGTTTGCCTGGCTGGAGCTCCATTGGTTCTCAATGAGAGGTTGGTGACCATCTCACCCTTCAAGTCGGTCGTGGCCTCTAGAGTTCAAGAAAGAAAGCTCAAACTTGCATATCAAGTTTCACCTTCCAAATCTATGTCATGGTTGTTCGGGATTTAAACCTATCTTTCAATCTTTGCTGCAAGCAAGTTGTGATACACATCCTGACGGCAGGAAGGGATGGCAGATTTTCCTTCGCTGCCACTTCAGACAGGAGACGCCCCAGCGAAGTCCCACCACTTCCTTAAATGCGACCAGCACGGCGACCGTCTTGCGCTTCTTGCAAGCAACAGCCAACGGAAGACTATCACGTTTTGTTGTTTCGAAGAAGAAGGCTTTTTGCCAAACTCTTTCCGACTCTTTCTCTACTCTTTGGGACGCTACTAGGGGCTCCTGGCCTTACTACTAGGAGCAAGGATGCTACTAGGGGTAGTTTTCGAAGATGCATTTGGGATGCGGAGATGGCACCTGGTGGCCCAAAGAATCAACGATTCTTCGGCCAAGTGTCTAAGAATGGATTCCAATCCCTGGACGTTGGATTGTACGCAATGGCCACGGCCCGCATTCCACAGTCCTGCCATAAACGTCTTCCGTCGCAGTCTACACGGTTTGCAACAACCCAAAGGAGAGTGTCTTTCGGGAAAGTCACCAGAGATTTGATCTCTAACGCTACTAGAGTGGAGGCCATGGCTCTTAGGTTGGAGGCCATCGCTACTGGGGGCATTCTGCTTCTGTTCTGAACCAAAAGCGACAGGTAAAGGCAGGATGAGTTCCGATGGATGCCCTGGCCTCAGCATGAAAGCCTCCAAAGAAGACATTCTCAATGCGCTGTGATGACATCCTGGACATCACCAAATCCAACGTCAAGCTTGCCAACCCCATTTGGCGATGTTTGTTGCATATTCTTGCATAGCATAGCAGCTAAGCAACATTTATTGGATGCTAAATGTTCAATCATGGACAGTTCCAGGAAATACACATAGATATGTTTGCCGCACCATTTGGGCGCTGTCAGTCCCACTTTTCTGACACACAAAGACCCGGCAAAAGGCACCGTTTAACACACTGACAAAACGTGCAACTTGGGTACCGCTGGCTACCGTCTCTGGGGCCCCATCTCGGCCGGTCGTCCTTGTGGCGCGGTTCCCATAGCGAACCTCCCAGGGCATGGCACAGTCCCTCTCCGGCAGATTGGCCTGGCGGACCGACTCGCGTACGGAAAGTGTTCAGCAAAATACGTAGAAGAACATATATAAATATATATATATATACAGTATATATAATATGTGAGCATTTGGCATGATGGGCAATAGGGAAGATGAAGAGTACCTTTCAAAGCAACCTGGAGATGTCGGTTGGAGACTTTCTCCGAACCGGGCAATTCTCTGGCAAGACAACAACAATGGCAGAACGAAGAACAGGACTTCGTCGGCTGCTGAGATTGAACGATTTCGTCAAATGGGAAATCATCCCAATCCACATGGACTGCCAGCCAATGGTGGCAGGATGGCCAGCGGGCAAGTGCGGCGTACAGGGCCATCCTGCAAAACAAAGCATTGCTGCAAAACATGGTTTCACCGCACCTCTCACCAGAGAAAACTTAGAGATCTTTTTCCCGAACAGTAACAAGGGCATCGCTACTGCAAGAAGCTACGTAACAAGTGTATAACTACTAGTAACAAGAAGCTACTAGTAGCAAAGGGCATCGCTACTAGGAACAAGTTTTTGTGAGATCTTTTTCCCGTTCCCTTCCCTCTACACTTCTGGTCTCATGCATGGATGACTTCCAACTCGGTCCTCGCAAGTCTTGCCCCGGTTGGTGATGATGGGCAAGAGGACACCAATCTGAGAGCGACAAACGGCACCCTTAACTTAGTGAGAACCACTGTTCACCTTGCGACTGGAATCACGTGGACCAACATAACACGGTAGGCTTCACCACTTCTGAGCCGTTTGAGAAGGGCCACCACCATGGCCATGACTGTCTGCTGAGTGCCCCAGCGCGACGGAACTCTGGCCCCGGCAAGGAGTTGCAGGTCACAGGCGCCACCTTGAGATGAAGCTTCTTGCTCGATGCCAGGAGCCCCCTAGTAGCGTCCTTGCTCCTAGTAGCGATGCCCTTTGCTCCTAGTAGCTTATTGTTCCTAGTAGTAAGGCCAGGAGCCCCTAGTAGCGTCCTTGCTCCTAGTAGCGATGGCATTCCGTGAATTTCCTCACCGGTGCCCATTTTCCCACCCAGTGGGTCAAACACACCAGTGAGCGTTTCATTAGCAGAGTTTTCTTCGCGGGTTGGGTGTTTGATCAACATGATAGTCATCAACCTTCAAAGCGCAAAGTCTGCTTCAACAAAGTGAACACACTTCTTTTTTGAAGCTACTACTACCAAGGGCATCGCTACATATCGCTACTGGGCATTACAACTAGTAGCAAGAAGCTACTAGGGGCTCCTGGCATCGCTACTCGTTCGGGGCTCCTGGCCTTACTACCAACAAAAAGGTCCGGCGTGAAGCAACGTGGCACCAACCCGCTCGGCATCCGGACGTCTCCCGGGCCGACGGCCAAGCATTGCATGGAGGCGTTGCAGCCGGAGATGGCGGTGGATCCGAAGACCTGGTGCTCTTTGCGGCCATCGCTACTAGGGGCTCCTGGCATCGCTAGTAACAAGTGCCTTACTAGTAGTAACAATAAGAATTTAATTAGATTGCTTCGTGTTACTACCAGTAAGGCACTTGTTACTACTAGCGATGCACTTGTAATTACTAGCAAACGAATCTACTAGGACCTTTTCGCGCGCGCGGGGGGGGGGTAGGGCATCGCTACGAACGGAGCTAGGAGCTAGAGGAGGCTAGTAGTAGCTCCTGGCCTTACTAGTAGGAACAAGGACGCTACTAGGTGGAGGCCATCGCTATTAGGTTGGAGGCCATCGCATGAGTCTCTTGAGTTCTCTTGAAGTTCTCTTCAGTTTCTCACAAACCTGGCTCTGAAGATCAAAGATGCAAGAAGGCACTGGCTCAAAGGTACAAAGGAGACAATTAGCCTTGTTGGAAGCTAACAACATGCTTGAACGCAGCTACTTGCCCACCTCACAAACTCACTTGGCTCGGGCCTTGCTATCTCGAAGCAGAAAGGTATGTGCCATGTCGCCGATCTCACGATGGAAGTTCCCGGTGATGCCAATGTGATTGTCGAAGACCACCCTGGATGAACTGAGTTCACATTATGCAACAAAATACACATTCTTTATCATTCTTTACACGTCTTTCTTTACATGTGTCAAAGCAACCAAAGGACGCCAATTGCACCCTTCACTTTACACACTGGGCATCGATGGTTGTGCCCAGAAACCTTCTTAAAGAGGGACATTACCGTGGGAAGCAACTGAGGAACATCTGTTGGTGCCCTGACTGGAGATATTTCTATGTATTTCTCATGTCTTTCACGTCCAGCTAGGTCAAGGAGGCTATTCTTGTTCCAAACCGTGTCCAACACATAATATCTGTTTGTTGCACTTTCTGCTCGGACAAGGCACACATCAGAGATCACCATGTTGCTCGGGTGATCCTTACAAGCACGAGCTCTCGCAATCTTTTCTCCCATCTTCTCCCTGATGCAAACTCAAAATACCCGCCACAACAAACCTTACAAGGAGCCACACCCACACACTCAAAGGAGCAAGGACGCTATGAGGGGCTCCTGGCCTTACTACTAGGAGCAAGGACGCTACTATTACAAATGCACTGATCGCATCAATGTACGCTGGATGGAGCTATTTCGCCACTTATGCTATCCCAGGACTTCATGCCTGCGACTGTGACAACTCCTCGAAATGTAGATTCAGTCGAGGCTCAACAAACAGAATGCCGACATGTGCATTTTTCCAGGCCTGTCACACCAAGCGACGCAGGAATTTACTAGATGTCCCTGGAATCCTAGAACCTTTGGAGCGGTCGAATGTTTCGAAAGGTCTCTTGCCCAACACTCCTTAATGCAGGTGCTTCAAGCAACTCAAGGAAACACCGAACACCTGACAGTGCACATCCCCAGATAAGGATCAACAGGAGCAGTAATACAATGTAAACTACAGTGCTGCAGCGCTTTCCAGCCTAGTAGCGATGGCCCCCACCACCCTACTAAGCAATGGCCTCCAACCTACTAGCGATGGCCTCCACCCTAGTAGCGATCGCCTCCAACCTAGCCTCCACCTTAGTAGCCATGGCCTCCACCCTAAGAGTGAACAAATCTTTGCGCTTTTTCAATTGCCTTCATCTTCTGCAAGTGGACGCAATCCAAGCTCCCAGGACAGGAGGCAGGGCCACCGCCGTCCGCCGTGCAGGATCTCAGGACGAAGAAACCAATCACGCAGCCTGGGGGAGACGCGAATCCCAACAAGAAGCTATCAGAAACAAGTGCCTTACTAGTAGGAACAAGTGCCACGCTACTAGGAACAAGTGCCACGCTAGTAGGAGCAAGTGCCTTACTAGTAGTACCAATAAGAATGTAATTAGAATTGTAATTACTAGCTTCTTGTTACTACCAGTAAGGCACTTGTTACTACTAGCGATGCACTTGTAATTACTAGCAAAGGAAACGACAACAACAGAAGCAGAAGTCTTCCGTGATCACGAACAATTTGGACGATTGAAAACCATTGTTAGCGCTACAGAGAGGATCTGCTGAGGTGGGAAGTCAAAACCATCTCCCGACTTTATCAGAAATTGGAATGCTACCGCTTGCAACTTGGATCAGAAATGGCAAGCCATGCCGCTATTTGAAGATTTTTAACCTTTTTCAATCAGAGGATTTGTTCCAAAAAAGGATTGCCAGTGCCTGGTGCTAAGACAGAACCACTTTGAAGATGCTATTAGGTTGGAGTCCATCGCTAGTAGGTTGGAGGCTCTTCTGTGTTGGAGGCCATGGCTTTGCTTTTCTCGAAGATTGCTTCTTTCCACTGGGCCCAGGTGCTGTGCACTTCGTTGACGTCCAGCTCACCGGTGTCCTGCTGATTGGTTGGGGAGCCCCAGTAAACCCGAGGAGATAAACCTGAGAGTGGCTCGAGACCCCCTTAAAACGAAATGCAACGGTCCAAATCACTTTTGGGTCAAACAACCACCACTTCTTGACTCCCAAAAGTTCGCTACTAGGAGCAAGGACGCTACTGGGGGCTCCTGGCCTTACTACTAGGAACAAGAAGCTACTAGGGGCTCCTGGCATCACTACTAGGAGCAAGAACGCTACTAGTAGCTCCTGGCACTGCTCCTGGCATCGCTACGAACGGAGCGATCGGACGCTCCCAAAAGTGCTCCTGTTCCACCTCTTCGCAGGTGTAGGGCCGCATCAAAATGCCAATATCTGGGCAGCCAGCCACCAGATTTCCGGAAAAAACCACTGGCCGTGCCTGCCACTCTGAGAGAGTTAATAAGAAGAGCGTGCATGCTGGTAGTAGTAAGAGCACTCCCACTAATGATTTGTTTCCTAGAATTTTAGGGAAACTTAACGCCCTTGTCACACTTCATTTTTGCATCATCTCTTCACTTGCTGAGGCGTTCAATTGGAGTCGTGAACGTTGATAGCTTTTGGCTCGGACAGTCCTGGAACTGAAACACCGCGCTGGGTTCCTGCAGGGGTTGATTCGAGGGTTACAACATGGACATGTGTGTGAATGGACATGCTTCGAGCCATCAATATATTTGTCATTGCCAAGAGCCCCAAGCAAACCCTAGCCCAAGTCTTCACTCGGTGGTTGAGCTGGCGATCTCCAAAGGACTCACAAGACACAATTTGACTTGTTGTTTCTTGTCTTGATTTCAGGGGCGGTATTGAAGTCCAGGCATCGTAAACATGGGTAGTTATTAGAAGATGATGAGCGGAGGGCAAGTAAACAAAGCCACCAGAACATTGATCTTCTCCCAGTGAAAAGGTCACGGGGCGATTGCGACATGAACTTCCGACTCCTAGTATTAGTTTTAACACTATTGACTCTATAAAAGAAGAAAGCCAGTGATCCTAGAGTTTTGCTTGGTTTGCCAGTGCCGAGCGACGTAGGTGGGGTTGCTGACGGGCACAAGAGGTGGTGGTTCTGGCCGTGAGTCCAACGCCTCACACAAGCTGATCTTACACTTCACGTGTTAGGAACATTCAAGGTCAGATGACAGCATGTGAAATCGAAGTGGAAAGGTGTGTTCCAAGGTCTTGTACTCTAGCGTCTTGAAGTCACCGTATACACCAGTACTAGTAGCGATACCCTTTGATCCTAGTAGCGATGCCCTTTGATCCTAGTAGCGATGCCCTTTGTTCCTAGTAGCGATGTCCTTGTCACTAGTAGCTTCTTGTTCCTAGTAGTAAGGCCAGGAGCTACTAGTAGCGTCCTTGCTCCTAGTCTTTAAGCGCCACCAAAGCTGCCAAATTGTTGATCACAAAGACACCGCCCATGTCTGTACCCGCATTTACGGCTCGGCCCCTGACAGGAAGCGAAGGCTAGTCACGGGTGAAAAGGAATTGGAACAGCACAGATTCTGAAAGAAACAAGAACTCAAAGGAGGTATCCAGCCTGGTCTCACAAAAGACACAATTCAAAAGGTCCAGCCCCCATCTGCCGATCAGTTCAATTCCTCCAACGTAGCCTTCAAGCAATCGGCGGCTGCTTGCAGTGAACATGCATTCGGCATCAAAGAAGAAAGCAGCCTTGTTAGCAAACCTGACACCGAGCAGCTTCGTTGTTTACTTCCAAGAAAGGACATGAACATCACAGAATCTGAGACTGAGGCTATTTGAGAAGACCACCGAGTCAATGTAAGGTCTTGGAAGGACTCCTTAGAAGAACATTCGTCGCCAGGCCGCACGGCTGCACTCAAGTTTGTCTTCCATCAAGGTGAACGGTTCGTCTGGAAAAAAAAATGCAGTTCGTTCCAATCAGTTAGATTGAAAAACTCTGGAACGCTGCTAGTAACAGGAAGCTACTAGGGGCTCCTGGCATCGCTACTAGGAGCAAAGGACGCTACTAGTAGCTCCTGGCCTCACTACTAGGAGCATTCTTGCTACTAGTAGCTAGAAGCTAGTAGGTTTTGATCCCCAAGAGGAGCCGCAGGTCCATCACAGCAAGCTTCGAGTGTAGGAGCTGGGTTGATATATTCGCAGCGCTGGAAACCGTGCCAGTTGCCCCAAAGTGCCACGTCCGTCCTGCCCTCCATGTGCAAATTGGACCCATGACATGGACCTCAAAGCTGGCACAGCTGTGAACTTTGTTACTACTAGCTTCCTGTTACTTAAGGCACTTGTTACTACTAGTAAGGCACTTGTTACTACTAGCTTCCTGTTACTACTTTGTTCTGGGAAGCAACATGACATTACACCTTAACCATATGCCTGCTTGCCTGAGTATGTGTCGTCCATCTATCTACAGCGGTCATGCTCATTGCAACATGTGTTTGTTCGAGCTCCTGAACCCTCTTGGCACACAAATACTTTCCCTTTCGGGCTCTTGCAAATTGAAGGCTCCAGTCACAAGTTGTCCAAGTGACACATAGGATGAGCCGCTGATGACCATATGATGACCGAACCAGTCGCCCCCGTGACCAGGTTCAGGAACTCCACGCTCAGGATCCGGGAACCGGTCCTGAGGCAGTTGAAGTTGGTAGGTTCTTCGGTTCCATTTACAGACTCGTCTGTTCATTTCAACTCCCTTTGTCGCAAGCAGACCCTGTGAATCAATCAACCTTTCTAAAGGGAAGGTTGATGCCCTTTGCTCCGTTCGTAGCGTCCATGTTGAGATGCTGCTGAGGTACAGCTCCGGTTGAGGCTTCTTCGGTGGTGATCACGATGCTGCGACTCAAGAGGACCACCCGAGCAGAGACCAGAAGTGGAGTGCTGGGGTCATCCGAAGCCTGGCTCTTTGCTTTTCAAAACCAACATCCAAAAAAACACCAGATTTCATGAAAAAAACACGTCAAATTCCCACAATTTTCTAGGTTGGAGGCCATCGCTTTCCCTTGATGTTTTCCTTCTCTTTTAACCATTCCAAAAGCATGGCATACTCCGAGATGATTCTGCGTACTTCAGCATCAGCATCTTCTTTTGATTGACTTTCCCCGGTGAACGGGCACCTGCCCTGCGAAGTGGCGCCAGTTCAAGGGCCGATCCAAGATGATCTCTGTACTCGGCGGATAAAAGACGATCTCTCGGATGAAGCGGCGCTCCGTGCCCGTGGCCTTGAGACGAAGACCGTTCTTCCCGGTGACGAAATCGAAATCGTAAAGATCGCGGGCAGCACATCAACTAGGAACAAGAAGCTATTAGGGACTCCTGACCGTACTACTAGGAGCAAGGACGCTACTAGGGGAGAGAGATCTTTCAGCTTTCAAAAAAGAAATTCTCCTCAGGCAAAGCACATTCACCGTCATATTTGGATACTCCTCGGTGGTGATGGCGATTTCTGCTCCAGCCGGCCAATCTCCAACATCTTCTGCCACCTTTAATGCAAAACGAATCAAATAGAACCAAGGCTGAATGATCCAACTACAGCAGCTATATGACGTCTCGGAGTTTCCTACCCTCTCAAGTTACCTGGTAGCGATGGCCTCCAACCTAATAGCGATGAAAGTTATCTGCTGACTCACAACAATCACCAGTTCTTTTGTGATCAGGGCTTTCATGTTTCGTCTCCCGCTCTCTCGCATGCTCTTGCGATCGCTCTCGTTCTCTTTTTCCGAGATGACCTGGGTGCTCCCAAAATCCGACAGTGGCGATTATATACAAGTGTTCCACAGTGTTCCATCAAAGTTCCTCAAATCGGTCTCAGCTGAATGCCAAGAGTGTTGGCACCAATCTCACCAAGCTGGCAAACATCGCAAAGCTTGCCCTTGAAGGAAGTGACATAGAGTGAGCCGCAGTAGGGGCACGCAATGGGGGTCTCTGTCGCACCAATGGCTGAAAGAGAGCCAGAGCAAATCTTGATGTCCTCAACTGCAGCCTTGAAATCGAAGTTGATTTTGTGCTTGTCGGTGCCCTTCTGCTCACAAATCTGCAAGACTTGTCGGGCCTTCTGCACATCCTCTTTAGTCTTGTCTGGAGGGCCAAAGTTGCCCTGAACCATCCTTTTTGCAAAGGAGGCGGCAGTGACAAAGTTCTCTCCCTTGTAGCAAGCGCCCATGGCGGATTTCAGAGCCAAGAACTGGTGGTATGGCTGCAATTTGCAGACCGTGAGGTAGGAGTTGAGCTCAAGGATTTTGGCTACCTTGTCTGGTGTCAGTTTCTTACTGGCCACCTGAAGCCGAGTGAAGTTGACATATTCTCTGCAGGTGTCAATCATCTCCGTAAGCTGTCGCTCCTCATTGGCATCATTGGCCACTGAAATGGGGATGGCCTGCAGGACACTGCGGAAGGCGTTCAAGGCATCATTGAACTTCCCAGAGGTCACCATCCGAAGAGCTTCTCTCGCACGATCCAAGATCACCTGAGGCGTGAAGAGAATCTTCGGAGCCAAGTCTCTAGATTTGGCACTACCTTCACTCAGCAACGGCCAATGGAGTGAAGGCATCTGTGGCAAGGCTGTCAGTGACGAACACGTGGCCCAGTATGCTTCTTTGAAGATGGGCGCCAAGGGCTCAGCATTGATCAATCCCAGGCGTCTCTTCAGCAGGTTCAAAGCCTCTTCGAAGTCACCTGCAGCCACCAAGTCTGCGGGCAAGCGCCGTTTTTTCAGCCATTTGGCCTGGCAGCTGTCGCCCAAGGTGAGATTCACTCCACGCTCCTCCACATGTACTGGCTCTTCTGGCAAGGCGCCCAGATCACCCAAATCCAAATCACCTCCCCAATCTCCACCACCCATGTCACCACCGAGATCGAGATCATTGTCTTCATCGCCCCAACCTGGAGCTTCTGTGTCTTCTGGTGCATCTTCCTGAGCGTCTAAGAAGGCTTCAGAGCCCGGCATCGGTGGTGGCGCAGCCGCCTCGAAGGAACTCTTCTCGAAGATTTTCTTCGTGGACATCAGCAAAGGCCAATTGGCCTCCCCAGAGCCAGGTCGAGCCAAAGGCACAGGAGGCACAAGCAGAACGGTGCGCTTGGGAATCTGAGACAAGATATCACTACTGCTCAGCTGCTCCTCTAACTTCTCCATGTACTCCTTCAATTGATGAGCACGAGCGGTCAAGGCGGCCAAAGGCACCTGACCCATCTCGGCCATGATCTTCACCCGCTCCTCGACATGGCCCAGCATCAGTGCATTGTGGAACCTGGACATCACATCACCTCGCATCTCAGCAATCTTGAGCATCTTCTTAAGCTTGTTAGAATTCCCGGTGATGAGATACAAGAAGGACAGCGCATCGAAGTTCTTGGTCTTCTGGTAGACCATCTCGACGATCTGTTGATTCCCTTGTCGTAAGGCCTCCAAGCCCAAACGATTCCAACAGCTGCGCTCATCCAATTCTTGTGCTGCCGTCATCGCTTCCTCAATGTGTCCATACTCCAGTGCCAAGTTGAAGCGTGTCTGCTGGTCTTCCACGAAATGCAATGCCACCTCTGGGAAGCCCTTTTGCTTCAAGTACCCAATCACAGCATTGCCACACAAGCGACCATTGGTGATCCAAAGCTTCACATCATTAAAATTCCGCTTGTGCAGTGCCAACTTGAAGAGATACTCCGAGCAATTCAGACGCTGCTTCTGCACTTTATGCTCTCGGTCCATGCAATGGAGGATCTGCTTGTGCACTCGCACGATGTAGAGAGGGTTGGCCAGGGAATGGATAATTCCGCTGTCCCCGTTGGGCAAGCAATATTTCACATGACTCAAGGTAGAGTAGATGAAGACGCCATTCTCATCCCAAGCACCACTCTTCACCCTGATGTTCTCATGAAAGGAATGGTAGTACTCGAGATTCTTGCCCGCCAAGAGCACATTGTGCTTGGACATGAAGGCAACATAAGCTCCATTCTGAGACCAAACAACATATCGAACTCCTCCGGCAATGCTCACTTCGTCCACTGTCTTCCTAGCGGTCAAGTCGTACATCACCACCTTCTCTTCGCTCTTCAGCAAAATTCGATTGTTGCCACCTGGGAAGATGTAGTCCGTGGTGACTGGTGGGTCCAACTTCTTGGAGAGCTCGTTCTGCAGGTTGTAAATCCCCACGGAACCACCGGACTGCAGCACCGCGAAGCGGTTCCGGGCGGTGAAGCAAACGGCCTGTGCATTGCCCTGCTTGGGGGAGATGCTGGTGTCGCTCGTGATGTTGCTGGGACCCACATAAAGGTCATAACAGCCACCATCCTGGGTGTAGAAGATCAAAATGTTGGTCTCTGAGGGATTGTAAGCATTGAACTGCAAGGACTTCAATCCAGATGTCATGGCATTACTGGCTCGCTTACAAGAGCCCAGCTGTACACCCTTCAAACCCTTGTCCAAATCCATGACCTGAACCTCTCTCTCCTGCACCGTGAAGAGGTTGTGGCCATGTGTCTGTGCCAAGGGTCTCTCACAATCCAACTTGAAGACGACCATCCCTGCATCATGGCCTACTGCGATCAAGTTGGATGTTCTGTGAGCGGTGATAATCCAAAAGCGATCGTTCTCCCTGCGGAAGGTGTGGATGCCGGTCCGCTTGGTCACGTCCCACACACGGATGGTACGATCTTCCGAATTCGACAAGATCAGCTCCTTCTTGGGGTGGAACATCACACAGGAGACCTTACTTCTCAAGTGCTTCATTGAAAACCAAGTTGAATCCAAAAAGACACCTTTCCACGGAGTCTTCTTTTGCATTGCTGTTTCAAGGGTCTCGAAACATCCAAAAAGAACACATCCAAAAGGACACGACGAGAGACATTGTTGAAATGGCCGCGAAGAGTGTCCACCTCCCACGCCTTGGTATCGTTCATCCTCCACAACTTGATCAATCGATCGTCTGCACCGGATACGATCAATGGAAGCGTCGGGTGAAAGGAGGCCCAGTTCACTCCTCCGACAGCAAAAAGAACACATGGAGCCCTTCAAAGTGCTAACGGCACAGTTCTTCCAACTTCCCCATCTACCCCTCCTTCTATATATACTTTCATTTCTTGCTCCAAAGAGATATATTGTGAGCTACTAGTAACAAGTGCCACGCTAGTAGTAACAGGTGCCTTACTAGTAGTAACAAAGAAGCAGCTATTAGAATTAAGTTTAATTAGAATTTAATTTAATTCTACTAGCTTCTTGTTACTACTAGTAAGGCACTTGTTACTAGTAGCGATGCACTTGTTCCTAGTAGCTTTTTGTCCACCCTGCCTCGATCATGACCCTCGAGGACATACTTCACCACGGCGTCCGAGGTGCCGAAGACATCGTTGGAGGTGCCACTCGTGGGCCCAGGCGTGCCGATGGCCACGGTCTTGTCCCGGAGTCCAGAGGTGTCCCAAACCCGGACCGTTTGGTCCAAGGACGCCGACACCACCAAGTCCTCCTTGGGGTGAAAATGGGCGCACATCACCTGGCCAACGTGTGTGACACACATCGGAAAAAGCAGCTGCATGGTGAACAAGTGAGACCAGATTCACAGCGACTAACTGATGAATTCGTAGGTGGGGCGGAAGCTACTAGGGGCGCTCCTGGCATCGCTATGAGTTTCGTGGGTGGGGCGGATGGTTTTAAAGAGATGATCTGAGATCCGCACGTAGTGGTTGTGACCCGTGAGGACGGCGATGCAGGAGCGAGACTGCCAGTTCCAAATGCGGATCGTCTGGTCATCCGAAGCACTCAGGATCCAAGGATATTCATCGTGAAACTCTACAGTCCTGGACTCAGGATTTGTTCACCAAACAATTGCATTCCAACCTTCTTTTCTTTAAATCCTTTTTGTTGAGCCTGCCTCTACTTCATGAAGTAAGGGACAAACGTGTCTAGCCACTAGGACGCTACTGGTAACTGAACGCAGGATAGCACTTATGATTTGGTTTCCGATGTTGAGGGAAACATGTTCGTCCCAATTAATAGCTTCTTGTTACTACTAGCGTGGCACTTGTTACTACTAGCGTGGCACCTGTTACTACTAGTGACAGGAGGGCATGTTCTTCCCATGTTCGTCCTAATGTAATCGAGATGGCCCAGGAGGGTGAAGATACATCTGCGGAGCTTGTAGTTCCACACTTTGATCTTGTAATCGTCACCTCCAGGAGCAAAGGGCATCGCTACTAGGAGCAAAGGACGCTACTAGTAAGGCAATTTTAATAGCTTGTTACTACTAGTAAGGCACTTGTTCCTAGGAGCTAACAAAGAATGCATCGTGAATGCCCAATTCGTCACCTCCGGAGACGAACAAAGGCTGTGAGAGATGAAAACACACTCCACGCACTGGACCGCCCTCGTGCTCCTCAAACTTATCAATCAACGAGCCAATCCGATAGTCCCAAAGTTGGATCGTGCCATTGTGAAGACTGGCCAAAATCCAACTGAGCTTGGGGTGAAAGCTCAAGCCTTTTACTCTGTTGCTCTTTGTTTCACACTTCACGAGCATGTTGCTGTTGGACCCAGCCATCGATCGCTAGACGCGAGATGAAGCTAGGGCCCTCAATCCGTGCTGCAGAAAAACAGAAATCCGTGCGTGAACAGTTCTTCGTTCTTGGTTCACAAATCTCAAACTCCGAAGGCAAAGAAAACAACTGCAACAACTCGAAGAAGCTTTGTGGAAGAAACTGGCACTGCCGGCCGTTTTGATTTCATCTTTCCTTTGAAGACATTTGCAAAGGAAACACATTTATTTAAAAAACAAAACAACAAATGGAATCATACATCGGTTGAAACATGTTGAAACCTTTGGGCTCCGGACACGAATCATCACGTCTCCTGGGTGTCTCAAAGCTGTGTCACGCACTGGGCATCAGCAACAGTTGGCTGCAAACTGACGCGACAAAGTGTTCGCGAACTGATGTGAACTGCGTGAACTCCAAAACCACATCCATTTCTTGCGGAAGTGGAACGTGTGCGAAACATACAAGACCCCAGAAACAACAATGATTGCGTTGCGATGCTTGTTTAAATCGCTGTGACACCTATATTACAGTATATATATATGTCACCTCAAACACTGCACAATCCGCCGACTCAGCATCCCCTTCTAATCCTTCTACTCCTGAGACGGACCAAGCCTGGCTCCGTGGACTGGTACAGCACGGACCATCTCCGTGAGTAGGTCTTCCCATGCAGGCTCACATTGCCCTGGGCAATGCGGAAGGGTCACGAACCTTGAGTACCAAAGGGCATCGCTACTAGGAGCAAAGGACGCTACTAGTAGCTCCTGGCCTTACTACTAGGAACAAGGACGCTACTAGCAACAAGGGCATCGCTACTAGTAACAAAGGGCATTACAACTAGGAGCAAATAGCTACTCCATGCGGCAAACTCGATGTGGCCTCGTAGACTCCCAAGACCTTCCGGCCCCAGTCGGTGTCGGTCGAGATGTAGGCGGGTCCCGAGTCAAAGCTCACCTTGGTCAATTCTAATTAGATTCTTATTGTTAGTAGTAGTAAGGCACTTGTTTCTAATAGCTTCTTGTTACTACTAGTAAGGCACTTGTTACTACTAGCGAGGCACTTGTTACTACTAGCGTCCGGTGCCACTATGTGAGCTCTGTGAGTCCGTGGTTGAGGCGTTTACTCTCCTTTCTGCCATTGTCATTAAAGGGCGGCCATCGCTAGTAGGTTGGAGGCCATCGCTTGTAGGTTTTTTTCGTTTTTACTCTCCTGTGTATACTCTCTTAGTGTTCTCTTGTTCGGTAGGAAAGCTCACTCGCAACTCCAGTGGTTGAGCTCGTTCAGGAAGTGCCATGAGGAAAAATCGCTCGACGTGAGACCAAACTCGTTGCCGAGCGGCTCCCCAAAACGAAATGATCGCTGTAGTCCTGTGAGGTGCCCATGAGGTCCCGACCTGGAACACACCTGGCACCAAGGGCAAGGCCCAGAAAGCATTTGACATTCTTGTTTGGGAGTGATATCCAATGGCTGGAGTGCTGGAGTCTTTGCGTCCAGTACTGGAATGTTCTTTCACAGTCCAGCAAGGAGTCAAGCTCCATGAACGAGTTCTTTTCTGCTTCATGCCCGTGGGATCTACAATTCTTTGCAGGAAGTCAACTGGCAACAGTGAAGCAGTTGGCTTGAAGAACTCTGACAGGTCTATGTTTCCCACCTTTTCCCACATCTTCCCTTAAGCCGCTACATTTCGCTTGCCTCCTTGGAAGACCTGGATGGACTTCACCAGGAGTTTCAAGCCTTCGTCCTCCGCCATCGAAAGCTTTCCAAAGACCTTCAAATCACCGACCTCAGCAGCAACTCAGCAACGCAGCTGCACAGGGACTACGCAAACCTGCTCAAGTACAAAGCATCATGGAACTGCACACGGTCACTTCGGAACAATCTATGGACGTCCCGAGTCCCTTTCAAGGACTTTGCATGAATTCTCAACTTTGTCAATTACTAGTATTGTTACTAGTAGTAATGCCAGGAGCGCCCCTAGTAGCGTCCTTGCTCCGTTCGTAGTGATGCCCTTTGCTACTAGTAGCTTCTCAAAGACTATACTGTTGTGCAATGTTTCGCTCCCTTCTTGGACACAGGTCCTCGTCCGCAACACCTTCCGCCCCCTGCTCCACTTCCGAGGCACCACTCCAATGGCCGTGAAGTTGTTGTAGATGATGTGATAGAAGGGCGGAATCACCTCAGAGCTGTTGGCTGGTGGCAGTTACTTCGAGGGGCAACGGCAACACCAAAATACTGCCCAGCTGCAAGTAAGCATGCAAACGATATTGAACACTATAATCATAATGGATGACAGAACCCCAGCACATTCGCTTTGGCTAATATAAGTATGTTTCCCAAAACACTAGGAACCAAATGAATAGTGCGAGCGCTTCTTTAAGGAAGCTCCCCCCTTCCTTGAAGAAGCGTGAGCTATCCTGCGTCCAGTAGGTAGTAGCTTACTTGTGTAGGTACTAGCTACGTACCTTCCTACTACCTCTTAGTGGCCTACCGCCTACCCCCTCCCACGGGGCTCGAGATTCCAAGGCACCACCTCCAGTTCAGGCGACCTTGGCAGCTGTTGACCTGTCCAAAAAACATCGACATTGATAGTAGTGATGCCAGGAGCGCCCCTAGTAGCGTCCTTTCCTCCTAGTGGCGATGCCTTTTGCTCCTAGTCGTAAGGCCAGGAGCCCCTAGTAGCGTCCTTATAGCTACACGGACGATCTTGCAAGACGATTTTCTCAAGAAGAAAGAACATCGTAACTCTTGTGAGGCAATCTAAACCCAAAAAGCCTTGCAAAGGCTTTGTGGCATTAAAGCTTACATGGCCTTAGGCCCAGATTTTCAATCGACGACAAATCTAGAAGCAGCCGTGTAAGGTATTCCAGAGCTGAAGATAGAAAACACTTACAGCATGTTATTTGTAGCTATAGAATACGTATGGATTCTACTAGGAACAAGTGCATCGCCTCTAGTAACAAGTGCCTTACTAGTAGTAACAAGAAGCTAGTAGAAACAATAAGCTACTAGGAACAAGTGCATCGCCTCTAGGAACAAGTGCCTTACTAGTAGTAACAAGAAGCTAGTAGAAACAATATG